AGGAGTTCAAGGTCATCTTTACACAGTTCAAGTTTGAGGCCACCCTTGGCTGAGAGCCTGCCTCAGTATAAATTAAAAAAAGAAAGATGTTATTTTAGAAGATGTGCTGGGTAACAAACCTGAGGCACCCATCACTGACCCCTCTTCCTATCCCACCAGGTACTGGCAAGCTGGGCTTCTCCTTTGTGCGCATCACAGCCCTACTCATTGCAGGCAACCGTCTGTGGGTGGGCACTGGCAACGGCGTTGTCATCTCCATCCCCTTGACTGAGAGTAAGTTCCCAACCCTAGAGGACACCCTATCAAGAAAACAGCAGCTATGCTAAAGAGTTCCCAGAGTAGGTGGGCTGGGAAGCCACCTCTCTGGCCAAGCTCAGCCTTCCTTTCTCCCCCCAGCTGTAGTCCTACATCGAGGCCAGCTCTTGGGGCTCCGAGGTAAGTCCTCAGCACTTGCCCACTTGTAGCCTAAAGCATTTGCTATGCCCCCATACTCACCTTCTCCAGCTGCCTGCTGAAAATAAAGTGGTCCTATCCTCCTGTCCTGTTTTCCCAGCCAACAAGACATCCCCAACATCTGGGGAGGGAACCCGCCCAGGGGGCATCATCCACGTGTATGGGGACGACAGCAGTGACAAGGCAGCCAGTAGTTTCATTCCCTACTGCTCCATGGCTCAGGCTCAGCTCTGCTTCCATGGGCACCGTGATGCTGTCAAATTCTTTGTCTCTGTGCCAGGTACATAGATGATCTTAACCCACTTTGCCCTCTGTGCTATAGTAGCACAGCTATAACCTTTATAAGAGGCCATGGTCCTGAGATACCTCTGCCCATGACAGGAAATGTGCTGGCCACTCTCAATGGCAGTGTGCTAGACAGCCCATCAGAGGGCCCTGGGCCTGCTGCACCTGCTGCAGATACTGAAGGCCAGAAGTTGAAGAATGCACTGGTGCTGAGTGGTGGTGAAGGCTACATCGACTTCCGCATTGGTAAGTAGGCACAGACTAGAGGTGGGGCCTGCTGTGGGCATGTGGGAGTCCTCTTCATGGCTGCCAATTCTCCAGGGGATGGAGAGGATGATGAAACTGAGGAAGGTGCTGGGGATGTGAACCAGACGAAGCCTGTGTTGTCCAAGGCTGAACGCAGCCACATCATCGTGTGGCAAGTGTCCTACACCCCTGAGTGAGACCCTGCCCTGCCTGATGCCAACTGTACATAAGACCCTACCTGCCTGACCCCCTGCCTGTTCCTTGGGGCAGCAAGGTTCGTCCATCCCCTTTTAACCTCTCAACTTGCAGCTTTTGCCTGAGGTCCAGCCCCCAGCTGTTAAGAGACGGGTGAAGCAGGTTTTGGGGAGTGAGGCAGGAGCAAATGTCTTTCCCATCAGGGAGGAGAAAGCCTCTGGGACACCCTCTTTCCAGCAGCTCCTGGCCCTGGACAACACCCAGCCCAACATGAAGTCCCAGGGTCCCCTCAGGGCAAGGCAGGACCAAAATGGCTATAGGCAGCCCCTACAGGTGGCCCTAGCTCCACTCCCGCCTGATTAGTCCTGGCAGGAGCAAGAGCCTCATAGCCTCATACTGCCTAGTCTTCCCCAAGTCTATTTGCTTTGCATGCAGCCCTGAGGAAGGGGTTCCTGATTCCTGATTCCTAAACCTTTGCTCTCCCTGAGGGACCCAGGCCTAGCCACCATCCTCTGCGCAGAAGCAAGGTTAGGGCTGCCCAGATTCTGGACCTCAGCCGGCCTTCTCTGGGCTTTTCCCATTTCCAAACTTACATTCCCTTGGCCTCCAGTCTGGGTCTTACCTGGGAACCTGGCATGAACGCTCAGGGCCAGCCTCCCTGGGGCAGCTGCTTCAATGACAAATACCCATTAACCCAAGGGAGCTGGACTGTCCAGCCCCTCACAGACCAGTGTCCCCTTGATTCTTCCTGGGCACAAGATTTACCTTGGAGGAACAAGACCCTAGTGCCCTTCCCTTCCCAGAAGTCCCAAGGGTAGAATTTCTCAGGCTGCCAGGGCAGGCACAGGCCTCAGGAAGAAGGGTGGCCCTGGTCTCCCCAGAGTCAGTCCTAGGATGCGAGCTCAGCCTCAGGTTAGTGGAGGATGGTGTGTTCCCAGGGCCTGCCTCCTGCACAGGGCTCCAAGGAGCCCAGCTCCTGGACACGTACTAAGTGCCTAGGGTTGCCGGCTGTGGCCTGCTCCCTTGGAGAGCAACTGACAAGAGGCTGCCAAGGCAGAGGCCAGAAGAGCTGAGGACAGGCCAGGATGGGCACAATCGTAAGCAAGTGTATGGAAACAGGTGCTGCCCTGGCCCTGGCCTTACTCTTCCAGGGGCACTGATTAGAGTCAGTTGGCCTCTACTGCCCTCTCCCCACGCAGAGAAGCACAGATCCAGGGGCCCTGCCCCTGAGCCCATCTGGCCATGATAAGCTGCAGCAATGTGCAGCTGCAGGCTTCTCCCCACCACCCTGCCACCTCTCCACTGTGATGTATGTCCCTTGTCTGTTCCCACAGGAGTGTGAAGTGACTGGGGTTAGCTGGGTGGGTGCAACTGGAGGAAGGGGCCAATGCAACTCTCCTCAGGCTTTGGCCTTGCAAGTGAACTCACATATCTGCTGTGTATGTAATAAATGTCTCAACACTGATTTTGTCTTGAAACTGCACCAGCACACAAGGGTTTACTGCAGTTTATTATGAAAAGAAGTAACAGGGAGGGGTGTGGGAGTCTCTAGACAGACTGGGTTGGGTGGACCTGCACCCACACAGCACTATCGCTGCTGCTGAGCTCTGTGAAGATCACAGAAGACCAACGACCTCCAGGTTGGTAATGCTGGCTTCAGTAAATCTACTCATATAGCCAGTGCCCAGCGCTGTCCTCCCAGCACAGAAGCTCATCCTCACGGAACCAAAGAGCGATCTCTCTATGAGCACTTTCCACCGAGTCACTGCCATGAATCACATTCCTGTGCGAGAATGGCAAGTGAGCAAGGAGGGGAAGGGTGAGGGGTGGCCAGGGAGGATGATAGGACTTACTTGCCAACTTCCACGCAGAAATCCCCACGGATCGTGCCAGGCATGGCATCTCCTGGGTCAGTGGCCCCTATGAGGGCCCGAGAAGCACGCACGACGTCCAGCCCTTGCCACACCTGCGGGGGCTACTGTCAGCGCCATAAGAGCTTCCCAGTCTTTGCCCTCCCCTTGCAGGTGACCGAAAACTCACCATGGCCACCACAGGACCAGAGCGCATGTATTTAACTAGTCGGCTGTAAAAAGGTCTCTCACGCAGCTCGACATAATGCTCCCGCAGTAACTCCTCAGAGGCCTAGGGGAGGGATAGCTACCTGTACTAGGGCCCCGACAGTAGACCCGCCCGATTCCCTTCCGGGGTCCGCCTGCTCCTTTGCGCGCCCACACCTGCACTAGCTTCAGTGCCACCAGCTTGAAGCCCTTCCTCTCAAAGCGACGCACGATCTCGCCCACCAGCCGCCGCTGCACGCCGTCAGGCTTCACCGCCAAGAACGTGCGCTCGTTCACGCCGCTGTAGGCTGCAGGAGTAATGGCTTCAGGCATGCTCCACCACGCGCCCCCGGCCCGGCACCGCCCCCACCTCGCCTAGGTGCTCACCTGCGGGAAAGAGGTTTGCGAAGATGGTCAGCACCAGGCAGATCATGGCGGCGGATGGGGCGGACCAGGCGGCGAGGGGGCGGGGCCTCCCTTAAAGAACCTCTCTGGACGTGGGTTCTCCAGGCGTCCTGCAGTCACAGTGCTCAAGACCTGCCTGTGTACAGGAACCCTAGGCGCCCTACCTTGTGTCCGCACCGCCATCCTCCCTTGTCCTGCGGTACCCACGTAATGAAACCACGACACGAGCCATTTCGTGCGTTTATTTCCAGATCGAGGAACGAGCAAGGGGCGGCCTGAAAATACAGCCAGCCGCTTGTCAACTGCCCCATTATTCACTGGCAGATGTGTCAGGGCTGTAGGGTCGCTCTCCACAAAAGGGGAGGTATGGCACAGTCAAAGACACTTGTCCATCAAATGACTCACAGGACCTCTGTCCGTCCAGTTAGACGGCGGTGCCCTTGGCCCTCCCTTTGGTCTCCTGTTTTGCAGGGTAATCCCAGGGATGCATTCGAGCCCTCTCCAGGTTCAGGAGTGGCTCCTGGACGCTAGTATCCCCGTTTTTCTGTCGTTCAGCGAGGATCATGGCCCGCAGCAGAGGTGGGTAGGGGACTAGGTTCAATCTGTCCTCTGGTTTCGCAGTGAACGCAGTGAAGGCCTCCTCCTCATGCTTGGGTACCAACCGCCAATCGTGGTACATGACTTGCTCGATTTCTCGAGCCTCATCCTCACTCTTTCCTGTTTTGGAAAGAAGACAAGCTGACTCCCTGGTGGCTGGATAATCTGCGAAGCATCAAGGCTCCAACCAGCACCCAGCCTTACCTTTGAAGGTCAGGACGCCCCAGGCCCTTCCGTGGTCCAAGTTCTGCAGAACAAGAGGGCGGATTGTCAACATAGAGCCCCTGGCACTAAGTTACACGGGTTAGGTGGTTCAGGGTGGACAGAACCAGCCAGTGTGGTCGGGGGTGGGCAAAATGAAAGCGTAAACAAGAACAAGCAACACAGGGAGGGAGCGCACCTGCGCCGTGTAGTCGGGCCTCACACGCGTGAGGCGCCAGTAGCACGGCTCGTCGTGCTGCCACAGCCAGGACTTCCGTGTGACCAGACGACCCACGCCAAACAAAGGGAGGCGGGCGAGCAGCTGTAGGAGGCGGTTCTCACGGCGCACGTCGGCCCAGGCGCGCACCGGCAGCCGGCGCCCGGAGTGCGGCCGGGTCAGCGTCTCGTAGTCTAGGGCGTATAGCTGCGAGTCTCGCGGCTGGTTCCGCTGTTCACGCAAAGCGCGCACGCGGCGGGCCAGTTCGGCGATCAGCCGGGGTCTCACTTTCTTGCGCCCCATGCCGGTGTCCTTACTCCACCGGAAACCTACGCTTCAAGAGCTCTCCTGTTCCGGAAGCGGCCGGTATCCTGAGCAAAAGCATCCGGGTACGCCCGGAAGCTGTAGGAAGGATGGGCTATGGCGGAGGAAGAACCCGAGAGACCCACGGGCTCGGGTTGCGGCCGGGGCCGGGGCCAGGGCTTGCGCCTGGTCGGTCGGCGACCTCACACGTGGGAGATCTCCGACTCAGACACCGAAGGTACCGCCGCTAGGGTGGTCGGCCCGCAAGCTCCCAGCACCGTAGGAGAACTTAGAGCTACGACCAAGGCGTTAAGGGCAGATCAGGTCCTGAAGAATCTGGTGGTGTACGTGGACCCAGGTGAGGGGCGGGGGGCGGAGAGGCTGGGGATTTGGTGCCGGCCACCCAACAGGTAGTGTCACCCATTAGTCCTCACGGGAGAAGGTGGAATGACAGAGCTGTCGCTTGCTGGGCCCAGCTATCCTGGAAGATGCAGGCTCCGATATCCTGATGGAGGCTCTGGGCACGCTAGGCTGTGAATGCCGAATCGAGCCGCAGCACCAAGCCCGCAGCCTACAGTGGAGCGTTGTGAGGCCCGACCCGGCCCCCAGCAATGTAAGTGTCTCCCTCTCTCCAGCGCCAGGCAGTCCTAGTCTAGGTTCCAGTCTTGCCTCTGGCTAGTGAGGTAGCTGCATTCATCTCGCCTTGCAAAGGAGTAACCCAAAAGCTGACGGATGGCCAAGTCGCATTTCTTAACACGAAAGCTGAACTCAACTGCTGCCAGAGAACATCTTGTTGGCAGTGAAGAGTTTAGGTTCCTGGTGTTCATGAAGTTGGACTAGTTTTGTACTTTGGGACTTCTAGGGAGCAGGCCTGGCAGGCCTGACCTTCACTGTGTGGAGAGCTGGAGGGTTATTGACAGCATCTGGTGACTGACTGGGCTGCATGCGGAGAAGCAAGCCATAGCAGCGCTGGTGATGTTCATTACAGGTGCCGCTGGAGGCGAGGGTTGAAAATGAGCAGGAGCAGTTGCTGCTGCTGGAACCCCAGGAGTTTCTTCAAGGTGCTATGCAGCTGACCCAGGTAGTGGGAGGAAAAACAAACAAAAAACTGTCTTTGTTTGGCAGAGCTGGTTCCCCAGTCAGAGATGGGTTGGAGCTTCTGTCGAGAGCCATAGAGGTGTTGAGGGTGAGATGAAGAAACCAGCTGAGTGTGCTAGACCTAACAGCATTGAAGGGTCTTTGGAAGAATTGAGAATGATGACCTGGCTGAGGGTGGAGAAGGAACCTAGAATTCTAGCTGATAGAGTCCACATGATGCAGGAGCTGGCTGTAGGATTTGTGTAATAATAATCTCTCACTTGGCTGCTTATGCTCCCTGGACTCAAGGGAAATAATACCTAACAGATATTTTCCTGGAGCACAATTCTGCTAAACTCTTTGTGAGTGCTGATCTCCAAGGGCCAATATTTGTCAAACGCCTGTCCAGGCTGAGCAGAGAAATGGACCAGCAAGGAGGCTGGTTCATTTCTACCCCAAAGCCTGGAGTGTGCCTGTGTACGCCTGGCCTTAAGGAAGCAGAACCAATCTCTAGAGAACAGAGAGGACCTACAAGCTTAACCCAGTTCCTCATCACTCTGGAAACTGTGCATACTGTTGGCTATGGGCGTACTGCCATAGCTTTGCTGTGAACAGGCACGTGGGTATTCTTGCTTTCAGATCACAGACTCACCTTGCTCCATGCCCTGGCTTTCTCCTAAGAGTCCCAGCTGCCTGTCCCATCTGGCCGTCATTGGACTGGATGCATACCTGTGGTACCACTTAACCTAATAACCTCAGTCGGGCTGGCTTGGATGGGATCCCAGGAAAGTGGGATTGCCTCTAGTGGCTGCTGTATCACAGTTGGCCCCACTTGCCCTGGGTGGGCTCTGCAGAAACTTGGGAGCCCAAAAGATGGTCACCTTTGTTCAGGTCTCACCAGCCCAGTTCTCAGAAGACATGGCAGCTGAAGAAGTCAAAGGAAGCACATGCCAAGGTGGCCATCAGATGGCCTGAGGTGGAGGAGGTGAGCTGCCACTGAGTTGAGTTAGATGGCTAGCCTTTGTCTCTGCTCTTGGGCTGTTTTCGGCAGGTCAGAACTGGGCTTGGTTCCTAGCATAACTGGGTTGGCGTTCCCCAGAGGACATGTAGCCTACTCACTGTCATGCTCCCCAGGCCCTGGTGCTGCTTCAGCTTCACGCAAACCTGGATGTGCTGCTGGTGGCCTCATGGCAGGAGCTGAGTCAGTACGTGTGTGCCTTCACCAAGGCCCTCTCCCAGCGCCCCTCTAAGTATGTACCCCCGAAGGGACTGAGTGGAGGCAGGACAGGGTTGCAGGACCACACAGGTGGTGTTCTCAAAGCTTCCATCTGGGTTTCCTTCTCATTTCAGGCAGTACCGGGATTCCCAAGCCTTTTCCTTCTGCACAGCAGGGCATTGGGCCTCTGGCCAGCAAGTGACCAAAGATGGTTCTGGGCTCCGAGGAGTATGGTGGCGGCAGATCAGACAGTTCAACCGGGTCAGCCCAGCTGTGGCTGATGCTGTCGTCACTGCCTTCCCTTCCCCCCGCCTTCTGCAACAGGTGCGTCCCCTAAGTCACCCCTCCCAGGACCAGACCTTAAGGCCCACCTACTCACACCTGTGCCCACTCTAGGCTCTAATGGACTGCAGCACGGAGCAGGAGCGCCTGAACCTCCTAGCTGACCTCCCTGTGAAGGCCCACAGGGGCAGGCAGCCTCGCAGAGTGGGACCTGACCTCTCACGCCGAATCTATATCTTCCTGACCACCACTAACCCTGACTTGCTGCTGGACCTGAGCTCTTGACCATACCTGTGACCTCCTTAGGTTGCCTCCTGCCCATCAGTAGAACAGGATAGGCCTGCCCAAGAGACTGACTCGTTACCAAGGGGCAGGCAAGGAGATTTGGGCCCAGCCACCACACTTTTTCCAGCCTGGGGTAGAGTACGGCCAGATGGAAGGGTAGTGGGGAAAGGGGGTGGGGGCAGGGTTGCTGAAGTGAACAGAAGAATCTATAGGGCAGCAGACAGGAAGGGCCCCAGAGTAACTGGGGCCTCAACTTACCCTTGGCCTGAACTCTTGTTGCAGGAAGCATAGTGGCAGGGTTGAGTGCCCAGCTGAGCAGTTCCTAGCCCCACTAATACCTAGAAGCTTAGGGTACACCCTCAGGTAGAAGTAGTAAGAGACCCTAGGGAAAAGAGATCCAAGCCAGGCAGCTCCAGCCTTTGTGAGGACTTTTTTAATGTTATAGCCTGTGGGAACGTGACATAAACCCTTCACAGGGCACCTACTGACATAACAGCAGGTGCTGACAGCATACAATGCTGGTCAGGAAAGCCCCTCTCCTTTTCCCTGGGCTGTGAGTACACTGCCCTGAATCAGCTAGCCTCCCAGGTTTGTAATCTAGGTCCAGAGGTGTTCGGGCTGCTCTTCCCAAGACACATGGCAACTCAGAAGGCAAACAGGAGTGCTGCTTCCCCACCAGCACAGGCCAACAGAGAAGGCTGTCCCGGCCTCAGGAAGATGGGACAAGCCTAGACAGGTCTCAGTTCTTCCCTCGCCTGCTGGCCTGGAGGACAGAAAGGTAGTTGCATTCCCAGTGGAGAAGTCAGCTTCTTCGGCAGCGCTTCCTCTGACAGGGCCTGGTCTCAGGACTCTCTGCACCAGGCGTAGCTGTGCCAGGAGAGGGCACAGGGGACTTCCAGTGGTTGCAGTTCATGCTCAGGACCCAGCCCAGCTTGTTATGCAGCACTTGCTTGAGGCCAGGTGGCAAGGGCAGGCCCTCAAGGGTATCCCCTGAGTTTGGCCGGAGCTGGCGCAGGCGGTAGCAGCACAGGTATTGCAGGGAGGTGGAGCTGGCGCAGGAGCGGATGACTTTCATGCTACTCTTGGCAGCTGTGGAGCAGACCATTGGATAGAACCTTCTGTTTTGCAGCCGGGTGGCGGCTACTCCTGGAAGAAAGAGTCAGCCTGAGTGCCGTGTAGGTCAGGAGGCAGGAAGTTACTCCCATAACGTGCCAAGGTGAGCAGCTCATATGGTTCTGAACACAGAAGACAGACTCAGCTTTGGTCTGGTAACCCCAGCTTGGCTTCAGCCCCACCTACCCTCAGGAACCTCACATAGACTGCCCGGCCCCACCCCTACTCCCATCTCTGCTGTCCAGGGTCAGACTGAGGGAAGGCACCTCACCTATGCACTTCCTGTTCTTGAAGAAGGTCAATGTCCCATGCCAGGTGTCCAAGTGTACGCCAATAATAGAGCCCTGGCCAAAGCGTGAAGAGAAGCTTGTCTTGTCACCTTTGTGGTGGAGGAGTCCTGGGAGGAGCAGATGGGTGAGCCTGGGAGGTCTGTGGCACTCCTAGGCCCACCCACAACCCAGGCAACACCCACCAGTGTAAGAGAGGCCCCAGCTGTCTTCATCCCTGCCAAGCAGGCTGCAGAATGTGTGGTGATACTTGTCCAGGTCTACATCTGATGTCCCAATGCCCACCATCTGCAAACAGTGGGGCTAGACAGTTAGGTGCCTAGCAGCAGGGCCCATGACAGCTACCCTCTTGTTTGGCCATTTACCATGTCGGTGCCATATACAGGAGAGGTCATCTTGATTTCCCAGAAATGTTGGCCATCCCCTAGCTCCTTGGTGCCCCGAATGGCTGCAGTCCCACAGCTATACTCCATGTGAAAGCTGACCTTACGATTATCACAGCTCAGCAAGGTGGCTGAGGACTTGTTCAGGTCATCCCAGACCCAATCAAAATCTGTAAGAAAGAGGGCCCAAGCTAGGGAGGGCTAGAGCAAAAACACACCTTCATGAGAACCTGCTGAGCCCTCCACACACATCCCCGGGGCAGGGCACTCACCCTCATCCTCCTCACCACAGCGGCAGTCCTTGCCACGGTGTGCTGTGTGTACACTGTTGCAGAAGGTAGCCTCACTCTGACCCTCACAGTCACAGAAGGACTCTCCTGTCACAGGCACAGCACTGGGGATGGATGGTGGCAGGGAGGAGTACTCAGGGTCAGAGTCTGAGTCGCTGTGCTGGGAGGGAAGGGGCAGATTGTCCTGTTGATGGCAGCTCTCCCACTGCCAGGCTACCCGACCCCCTTTCAAATCCACCAGGGAAGAATCCAGACACTTGAGGTTTTCCAGTGCATGACCTAAGTGACCTCAGTGCTGCGGCTTTGACCACTTGCTTGAGAGCACAGCGACATGGGGCTGTGGCCCTAGGGGCATAGCTTCTCACTTGATCTCTGAAACTCAGTATACAACCCTCAGCCCCATTTCTGCACAGCAGCCCTGGCTGCCATGGGCCACACAAGATGGGGCAGTCCAGCACCTACCTCCTGTCTTCTCTAGGTAGCTCAAGGTCTCCTAAACTACAGGGCTGTGCTGTCAGCAAGGTCTAGCATCTGGACCTAAGCCTTGAGAGATGGGCTTCCATCTCCTGAAAGGTCACTGGGGTCAAGAGGAGCACAGTTACATGAGGCCTAATGGGCTAGTTCAGCTGTAGCAAGCTCCTCCAAAGGTGCGGTGCTTGTGGCTTAGGCTCACGCCAGGGAGCCTGCTGGGGGTGTAAAGCTAGGCTGGTCAAGTTCCAGCTGCTGACTGGCCAATCAACACTATAGCTGTTCATCACCTCTGCAAGCCCTTGGATTCCTGCTTTAGTGCTAAAGTCCAGGTGAGCTGGCTCGGCAGTCCCTGAAGCTTTGGCCTCTGCTGTGCCCCACACAGTGGTCCAGGACCCTCCTATAACCAGCAACACATCACAAGTTCTGACACCTACCCTGGAGTTAGATCTGTTTCCAGCCACAGCCAGCCATTTTATGAGCACCAGGTACTCAGGGTACTTCTCTAGATGGAAGCATTCAGCCATCCAGAGGAGCTTGGGCCAGATCTTTCACCCAATATTCTTTCTCTTCACAGAACTCAGGTTCACTGTCCTGGTCTTTGCTGCTTTGGCAAGGTCATCAGCTCCTCAGGGAGGGCCCCAAATCACCCACCAGGACCTGAGAACCATCATGGTGGTTATACAATATCCTGGGCAGATGAGGAAGGAAGTGCCCAGCAACAGACAGCTGAAGAGAGACTGAAAAGTGACCTCCCAACTCCAGGCCCAGTGTGCTGGGACAAGAGAGTAGTGACTCCACAAGGAGCCAGAGACAGGGAAAGGTGTTTGGCCAACCACAGTAAACGTGGGCCCCACAGAAGCCAGGCAGAACAGCTAGCTACCTAGCTTGGAGGGAAAGTTATACCTCAGAGCAGGCCTTGCACTCCACTGGCAGGGAAGGGATCCTCTAAGGCACAGCCACTGAACCAGGAGCCAGGGTACAAGGTCAATCTGCCTAGCAGAAGGGATGGAGGCTACTGGTCACCCCAACCCAGGCCCAGGAACACCTGACTACATGGCACTGCAAGCTCATTACATGACAGGACAGGCATGTTTGTGTCACTGCCTGCATCCCACACTGATGACTGTGAGGCAGGAACATGCATATAGGCTGCTTCAGGATACGTTGTCATTGGGAGCTAGAGATGTAGCTGGAAATTTGGGCCGACCTCAAACTCAGAAACCCCTGAGCTCAGTGGCCTGAGACACTGCTGACCAAGTCAGTACATCATTGGTTCCAAGTTTTCCTAACAAGCTGGTGATCCCATGGGCTCCTAGAAGGGACCTCTTGTTGCAGGGAGCTATGACATCAGGGTAGAGGCAATACAGGGCAGAGCCAGAATTCTAGTCCAGTATCAGCAAGACAAATCAAGAGCCACTCAGGAGCCTAAGCTGGGCATCTACCCTGTGCCTATACACCTGGCCTCCCTGTGCTCAGATCTCCAAGAGAGGAAGTCTTGGGACATTTGAACTTTAAAGAAAAACTGCTGATGACCCGAATTTAACCCCAGGGGTATCCCAGGGTAGAAAGACAGAACTGACTCCTGCAAGCTGTTCTGTGTTCATCAGAGCACACATATGCCCACACACAATAAATTGCCTCAAGTCCAAGGCCAGCCTGTGTTATGCTGTGAGACCATTTTTAAAAATAAGCTAGGCATGGTGACACCTGCCTTTGATTCCAGCACTTGGGAGGCAGAGGCAGGCAGATCTCTGAGTTCAAGGGTAGCCAGGGCTACAAAAAGACCCAGTCTTGAAAACTTTTTCTTCTTTTGGTTTTTCAAAACAGGGCTTCTGTGTAGCCTTGGCTATCCTGGACACGCTTTGTAGACCTCAAACTCACAGAGTGCCAGGTTAAAGGCATAAACTACCACACCAGACTTACAGAGCCTTTTTATACACAAGCATAAAGTGAGTATTTGTGTGGCAAAAGAAACATCCAGGGTTATCAAGATGGTGCAGCATGGGTATGCTTGCTACTATGTATCAGAGGCAACCCAAGTTGGATCCCCACATAACAAATAAAGGTGGAAAGAACAAACTACCACACACACACACATAAAAAACAGCCTTCCAACATCCACACCGTTCACAGTGGCATATAATAATAAGCAAAACAAAAGTATCAAGAGGGTGGGTACCAAGTTGGCGACAGCTATTGTGGCAATCAGCAGAGCTGATGGACAGGCATTTGTTGTATACTAACCAGTACCATCCAGGACTTCATTCCCTGGGCAAGGATCCCTGTCTTGAGTCTCTGTCACCCTTAGACTGGGTGTTCTTTACCAGACCAAAGAGCCCTTCCAAGCACCATATACCACGAGAGAGTTCAGGCACCTGGCCCTGCATCTTTTTCACCCCATCCATTCACTGGTCCTCCCCACCTTGCCACTGGGACCTACCTGCCCATCAGAGTCGTAGTCCCAGTTAGTGGTGCCGGCCAGAGCCACAGCCCGGGCATCTGTGTCTCGGCGGGCTGCACTCAGAACAAAGTGCCATGCCCTGCTGCTCCGTGGACGCCGGGCCATAATGGAGAGGACCTGGAAAAAGAAAAAAAAAACAAAAAAACAATTGTAAGCCTTAAAGACATGTAATGTGTCAGAACGCCCAAACAAGGCCCACACCCATAGCCCACAACTTTAACCCTGGCACTTGTGGGCCACCTGGCAGGCTAGACCATAGGTCCACCAAAGGATGGAGACTCCGGGGTCCTGGACACTGAGCCTGGGCTTCAGAAACTCCCACAAGCTCATACCTGGCTCCAGTATCTGAGCGCCTCAATCACACCCAGGGTGATGGTGTGAAACGCAACCCAGACACCTATGACTCTGGAGATGCCCGCGCCCATCTCCGCATTCAGTTCAGGAGCTGCTGCCCCTCAGGCATATGACACTTAACTTGCTCCTCCTCCGCTGTCCACTTTGGCAAATGGCATCTCCAGCATCCAGTTCCTCATGCCAGAAACACGGCTGTCATCCACTCCTAACACCCCTTCTTCCAACACACCTGAGGTGGTCCTCACTTGTCGCTGGCGACCCACCACTTCCTGCCCCACACAACTTCCTCTCACCATCCCGTTCCACACACTACAAACTCGGTTTTTGATACGACCTTAAACTCACGGGCTTGACGTCGTTATTGGGACAAAATGCAAAGCTCCGGGAGGTCTGGAGCTCCTCTCCCCGAGTGGGCTGTCTGGGTCTAATAGTCGGCTCTGTCCTAGCTGTCTCCCGTCCCTGAAGAACCACTGCACGACCCTACCTCGCCCCGGCCACCCACAAAGAAGCCGAGCGGGGCCGCGCCCAGAACTCAACAGTAGTTGGGTTGGCTGAGCGCCGTACAGGAGCTCACAGTAGGAACCCAATGAATGAGCCAGAGCTGTCTCCGGATGCGGCCACGCTCGGCCTCCGCGGGGCCGGAGGTTGCTTCCCTCGCCAGAGGCTCGCGGATCTCGCCAGGGCGACAGTGTCCGTGGCGCCTGGCTCCGAGGACCCCGCCCAGACTCCCGAGCGCCGGCGCCGGGAAACAAGGGGTGGCCGGCTTGACCGCCTGCAAGGTCAACGCGCAGCCCGCCGGGCCTGGCCGGGCTGGGCCGGCACGGCTCACCTGCGGCCAACGCGCTCCGCCGGCGCTGACCCACTTTCCGTTCCGGCCGCGACGCAAACAATCCCCGCCCCCGCGCTGCATTGGCCGGGCAGCCGAAGGCGGGCTCTCCGGCAGCTCCGCGCGGGGGCGGGTCTCGCGAGACGGCGCTGCTGTCAAGAGGCTTGCGCGACCCGTCAATCCTGAACTAAAGTTCCCACTGGTCCTCGCCAGAGCGTCCAAAAGAGATTCTCGCACGACCATTGGACAGCTATGCGGAAGCATATCTATGTCCGTGGCGTCATCGTCCGTTGCTAGGATCGGGACCCTTTTGGGTGACCTGGTTGGCTGAAGGATGCAAGACTAGCCTCTCAAAATGAGTCTGAGGCGGGCTCTTGTTGCCATTGGTTTAAAGGCTCGAAAAGTTAGCAAGGGAAGCGGAAGGCAGCCGCGAAGAGCAGCTGGTAACGGGATGGAGGCGGTGGCTGGTGAGCGTGCGGGTCGCCAGGAGTGAGGGGTCGGGGAAGTCTGAAAGCGAACAAGTATAGCAGCTTGCTTGTGGCCTGCACACAAAGTAACCTGAGATGCCAATGAATGCCGTGTACCTTTGTTCCCTGAGCCAGCCGAGTGACGCGGGCGCACACGGAGCAGGTTCCAGCCTGTGTGGGCCCTCAGCCTCACACTTTGCGGAGAGCTGAAAGCCCTCTGCAGCCTCTAGTGTGGTGTCTGTGCGTTCGTGCGCAGATGTCGCTCGGCTGTGCTGTTCTGTTAGGTTTCCTGTGTCTGTTGCAATTAGCTGGAAGTTTGAGAACATCACAAGTGAGCATTGACGTGTGCACGTGCCTTCAGTTGCTCCACTTTAGACAGAAGTGCGGCCAAGACAGCTCGGGGGCTTCTAGAAGACCTTCTGCCTGGGTGCCTTTGTCTTTGTTGCTTTCCCGGACACCCCAACACGTGTTTCTCACCAGAGCCCGGGAACCTGGCCGGCGTGAAGCATATCATCCTTGTTCTTTCTGGAAAAGGGGGCGTTGGGAAAAGCACCATCTCCACGGAGTTGGCCCTGGCGCTGCGCCACCAGGGCAAGAAGGTGAGGCTATGACCAGGGTTGAACTTGCTTCTTGTCCCTAGCTCCCAGCAAGCCTGACAGGCTTCTCCCCACCCCTCAACACTGTCCTCCTCGCAGGTGGGGATCCTGGATGTGGACCTGTGCGGCCCCAGCATCCCACACATGCTCCACGCACAAGGCAAGGCGGTGCATCAATGTGACAACGGCTGGGTGCCTGTCTTCGTGGACCAGGAGCAGAGCATCTCCCTCATGTCTGTGGGCTTCCTGCTGGAAAACCCTGACGAGGCCGTGGTGTGGAGAGGTCCCAAGAAACATGGTGAGAACTTGGTGAAAGGCCGTCCCCCAGCTGACCCTGGGTACCTCTTCACTGAGGTGGTTTTCCCTCCTCTTATGGCTGCTGCCTTCCGGTAAAGCCGGAAGCCAGTCCTGGCCCCTTGGTATTGGAGTCTCTGTTCCATTAGAATGCTTCCACTGCTTCACCCAGCAGAATATGCACACCCCTCTGTCCCCATGAAGATTTCCTCAGACTCTGTGACAACCAGATGAGCCTCTGGATGGAGAGGGTGACGTGAGGACAAAGGAGAAGCTGTGTTAGGCATTCGCTCTGAAGCCATCAGCCACTCCAAGTTCATCTCTTAGTTAGGTCTACTGAGACCCCCCTCCCCCACGCCCTCACTCCACCCAAGGGTCTGAAGCCACACAGTGTATAGTGAACCCAAGTGCTGAGCTTCAAGGAGGTAACATTAAGCAGTCCTGGCCGCAGTGAGAGGCTTCCCAGGAAGAACAGCGCGGTTAGCGTGGATAGCAGGCTGCTCCTGGACGTGCTGGCAGGGTGCTTCATGCCAGGCCATTTTCTCGGGGCCTCAGGGCCTTCATGGGAGTTGGCTACAGCCCCGAAAGGTGGGGTGTGGCAACAGTTCAGGGCTGGCAGGTGGCAAAGCTGCTGGAAAGCAAGGAGTGCTGGTGGGGGCAGGCGGACCCTTGCTGCCTTGTGTGGCCAGGGTACCCTGGGAACTGCCCAGCCAGTACCAATTGGACACGATGGGCCTCCCTTTTCCTAATCCTTTGCCAGAGGTTACTACTGGGCTTTTGGGTCTTTGCAGCACTGATAAAGCAGTTTGTGTCTGATGTGGCCTGGGGGGAGCTGGACTATTTGGTTGTGGACACACCTCCAGGAACTTCTGATGAGCACATGGCCACTGTGGAAGCCCTGCGTCCTTACAGGCCCCTGGGGGCCCTCGTGGTCACCACACCACAGGTACCACTAGTGTCTCCTCAGCCCTACCTGGGTGAGCACTCACCCACATATATGTTGGGGGTGGAGGGGACACGCTTTCCCATCCTGGTTGGGCTTGGGCTGGGCTGTGGTGGGCCATGTTCCCTGCTGGCTACTTGATTCTTGGCTGACCTACAGCTGACTGGCCCCTCCTCGCTCTGGCCCACAGGCAGTGTCTGTTGGGGATGTGAGGCGGGAGCTGACCTTCTGCAGGAAGACGGGGCTGCAGGTGATAGGGGTCGTAGAGAACATGAGTGGCTTCGCCTGCCCACACTGCACTGTGAGTCTTGGAAGATGGGTGGGTGGTCTCTTTCGAGGTCTGAGGGAATACAGACAGCTCAGGCAGTCACAGGCCTGCAGTAAGTAGGTCTGTCCATCAGTCCAGGGAAGTTAACTTTGTGGATAGAGAGGGCACTGTGACTACCTGGGCATTCTCCCTGGACCAGCTATGGGTCTCACCCTGGCAGTGGGTCTCAGCATGGGGAGTAGGTCTGCAAACTGGACCCTCACAGCCCTTGTCTCCTAGGAGTGCACCAATGTCTTCTCCAAGGGCGGTGGGGAGGAGCTGGCCCGGCTGGCTGGAGTTCCTTTTTTAGGTAAGTGTCAAGAGCAGGCCACCTGGGGCCCCAACTTTCACCTGCCGGGCTTCTGAGCGTGTCTGACCGCAGCGTTGGGCCTCCCGTCTGTGCAAGGTGTCTCTGGGCTGCCCACCACCCAGCCATATGTTAGGATGCCTGTGCCCCACATTGTTCCAAGTGGGAGGGCATGAGAGGCGAACAGCGTGAGCTTCAGGAAGGTGAGTGGTGAGTGGCCACTTCTCCATGCTGCAGGCTCTCGCTAGGCCTCCGCTCATTTTTATTTGCTCATCGGGGTTGTGGGTGTGCGCGTGCCACAGGGTACTTGGGGAGATCAGATGATAGCCTGTGGGGGTCAGTTATCTCCTTCTACGATGTAGGTCCTGGATATTGAAGCCAAGTGGTTTTCAGACTTGGCAGCAAGCACTTTCACCTACTGCGCCATTTGGTCAGCCCTTTGCTGGCTTTTGTTGTTGCAGGCTCTGTTCCCCTGGATCCCCAGCTTACCAGGAGCCTAGAAGAGGGCCGTGATTTCATCCAGGAGTTTCCCAAGAGCACCGCGTACTCCGCACTCACTTCCATAGCCCAGAAAGTTCTGCACAGGATGTCTGCCCTGCACCCCTGACCGCCTCCCAGCCGCCCTGATGCTGTGCGCTCCTTTCTCAGCCTAGAGGGATTTTGGGAGCAGAGGTCCTTGGGACCTGTGGTTGCTGATCTGGACAATAGCTGGTCCATGTGATTACGTCCACGCAGAGATCTTCCTGCGGGACAGTGACATTTCCCAGCGGTGTTTTGAGTAGAATTTACTCACCATCAGCAGCTTCGCCAAACTAGTCTGTAGCTGAGGGGATGGCTCAGGTCCTAGTTTTTTGTTTTGGTTTGTTTTGGTTTTTGGTTTTTTGAGACAGGGTTTCTCTTTGTAGCCTTGGCAGTTCTGGGCTTACTTTATAGACCAGGCTGGCCTGTCACTGCCTCCCTGGGTGCTGGGATTACAGATGTGTGCCACCATGCCCTGCGGGGTCCTAGTTTCTTGAGATGGTAGTAGCCTTAACCTCCAGCCCAGGTTGACAGGCTGCTCTGACAGCCACACCACACATGAGCTGCCTAGTACTTGCTCATCCTGACTGTCCCTGAGTGCCCACGTGTGCTGTGGAGGCTTCTGTGACACACCGTGTGGTTTACAGGCATCTGGTATCCCACAGGACTCCGCTGTTAAACCCGTTACCCCACCCTGTGAAGAGCCCAGCATCCGACCCTGTGTCCCCAGTGAGGTGGCTCTTGATCCCCGTTTCAGAACTGGAACAAGCAGTATTCATAAAGATGTAGAGGGCCTGAAGACACGGTGAAGACATCTGTCTTGTCTAGGGGGCTGGGGTTGGCATGTTGTGTTTTCAGACATCGCTGAGGCAGCTGGAGGCCACAGGATAAGAGTTCAAATGTGGGCCAAGCCGCAGAGCCCTTCCTCCTCCTTCCTGGGCCAAAGCTGAGGTCTTCAAGAGAGACTGGGGGCCTGGGGAACCTCGCAGGGTGTGGTTCTGCAGTCAGACAGGAAGGCCATCCCCAACTCCCACCTGCCCACACCCCCAACAGTCACTGTTAACAGTGGGCAAGGTGGTGACTTCCAGAGCTCTGACTGGGACAGTGAGAACCCCCCTTTGCCCCAATATAGTACCCCAAGGGAGGGATGCAATGCCAGGATCTGGCGGTTGAGTGCCTGCAGTTCCTTGTTTTGGAGAAAAGGGTCAAATGAAGCTCAGAAGGTGGGGCATTGCAAGAAGCAGTGCAGATGAAGTAGGACACGAGTTCCCAATGCCAGCAAGCTGCAGACTGGCTCAGGCAGAGCTAAGACAGGATAGATGGGGCAGGGACAAGGAAGGGTCACCTCTCCCAAGTGCACACTCACGGTCACAAGCTTTGCATAGCGCTTGCGTTTAATTGCTGCCAGCAGGGAGTGCTGCTGAGCACTTCCCCTCCTGGCTGGGCCCTTGGGCACTTAGCCTGTGCCCACCCTTTTAGGCCACATAGCTGCCAGTACTGCCCAGCTTGCAGGAAGTGAGCAGCCAGGACCTGTCCCCTGGAGATGGGCGGGTATTCTCCATCCCCACTGGCTTTGGGAGCCAGCTTATTCTGGTAACAATGAGACACTGTCCCGACTACAAGGCAGCGTTCGGCCAGACCAGGCCAGGAAGTAGCCAGGGTCAGCAGTGCAGAAAATGTGTTTCGCTAATGTCTCGTAGGTCAAGGCCTGAGACATTGGCTGGGCCAGCACAAGTGATGTTGTTATAGGCGTACACCGGCTGGCAGTCATCCCCCTCACAGACAGTCTGAACAAAGCGGGGGACAACGCTGGGGTTCCGCAGGGCAAAGTCCCGCAGGGCCTTGAGCGGACAGCGGCAGTCCCAGGGGTTGCCGTCCAGCCACAGGCGCTCCAGGCCGGGCTGTGGCGCAAAGGTCTGCAGAGAGTTATTCCTGAGGCTGAGGTAGCGCAGCCGCCCCAGCGGTGAGAAAAGGCCTTCCTCCAGCGCCTCCAGGCGGTTGTGGGAGACGTCCAGCCAGAAGGTGCGCTGCAGCGGGCTCAGGACATCCTGGGACAACACCGACAGCTGGTTGTGCGAGAGAAGCAGGTACTCCAGCTGGCCAAGGCCCCGGAAAAGCTGGCCGGGCAGGTGTGTGAGCTGGTTGGCGGTGAGGTCCAGCTCCAGGAGCTCAGACAACCCTTCCAGGCTCCGTTCTTCGATGCCGGAGATGCTGTTGCCCCTGAGGAAGAGCCTGCGCAGCCCTGCGAGGCCGGCGAACGTGTGTGGGCGGATGCAGCTCAGGCAGCTGTGCTCCAGGTGGAGGCTGTGCAGCTTGCCCAGACCTTGGAACACCCGCTCTGGGAGGCTCCTCAGACAGTTGCCAGAGAGGTTCATAACAGCCACATTGAAGAGGCCAAAGAAGGCACCCACCTTGACCTCATGAATCTGATTGTCATTGAGCGTCAGCACCTCCAGCTGCCCCAGGCCTTCGAATGTCCTCTCTCCCAGCTGCCGGATCCGATTGTGGCTAAGCTGCAGTTCCTCCAAGAAGTGGAGGTCTTTGAAAGTACGAGGCCGCAAGCTAGTGATGGCATTGTGTGCCAGGCGCAGGACATGCAGGCCCAGCAGGCCTGGGAAGGTGTCCTCCAGGAGGCTGGCCACTCGGTTGTGTGATAGGTCCAGCCAACGCAGTGCCTTCATGCCCAGGAAGGCACGGGGGGCCACAGCTGTGATGAGGTTGCGGTCCAGGTACAGCTTCTGTAGCCTGGGCAAGTGAGTGAAGACGTTGGCTTTGATGCTGCGCAGCGCATTCCTGCTCAGATCCAGCTCCCGCAGCTCACCCAAGCCACAGAAGAGTGCCGGCTGCAGGTAAGCCAGCTTGTTGCTAGCCAGCACCAGCTCACGGAGGTTGCTCAGGCCCTGGAACGCTGTGTCAGGCAATACTACTAGGCTGTTCCAACCCAAGTTGAGGTCCCAAAGGTGACCAAGGCCTTGGAACAGCCCCTCTTCTAGCCGACTCAGGAGGTTGTTGCCCAGGCTAAGGGAAGCTAGATTTGGTGTGCTCGTGAACAAGCCGGCAGCTAGGCTCCGGAGCAGGTTCCGCTCTAGGTGCAAGTGGTAGAGACTCTGCAGGCCCAGCAGTGCCTGTGGCTCCAGGCTCCTCAGCCAGCTGCCCTGCAGGTTGAGGAAGTCCAAGCTAGACAGGTTTTGGAAGGCCGCCGAGGGGATGGAGGAGAGGTTGTTGCCATCAAGCCACAGGGCCCTGGTGCTGACGGGGATGCCGTCAGGCAGCTGTGTGAGGTTCCTGGAACTGCAGAAGACGCTGAGCTCATCCGTGTAATCGTCATAGCTGCAGATACAGATGATGGGGCACTGGGGGCCCTCAGCATCTGCTGATGCTCCAGGGTCTGTCCCTCGCAAGTCACAGGGGCCCAGTGCCACCCAGAAAGCCAGAAGCACCACCAGGGCTGGGCCACCTGTGGGGAGAAGGGGTTGGCAAGGAGGTGCCCAGAGGACTGTGGCCCAGGATGTGAGCCAAACCCTGGGCTTCCCCGGTCCTCAGCTATTGTAAGAAGAGGGATGATGTTTGTACACTAAGACATGGTCATGCCATTGTGATACCAGGCAGACACTGGTAGGGCAGCCAGGTACTATCCTTTGAAGCGACTTCGCTTTTCCAACCCATGGGACCAGCAAGTCGTGGTCCCCATCTCACTGCAGGGCCACCAAGGGCTTGGCTCTTCCATGTCACCCTGGCTTCACAGGCAACCTGGGCTGTGGCCGCTAGGCCAGGTGGCAGTCTGTGTCCTCTGGGGTATATAGAACAGCCAAGCTGAAAAACAGAACGAAGCTGCTGGCCAAGACCTGGCTGTCCCAGAATATTCTGGAATAGACCCTGGTATCATATTCATTTGTGGTACTCGGTGACTGAACAACAAGCTGGCCACCACCTGGCTGTTGGGCCCCTAGATGGGTGAGGCATGCCCTGTTTGCTCCCCAGTTTATGCAGGCCGGACCCCCTGCCGGCAGAAGAGTGGGGTCTAGAAAACCCAATCATTCATTCAAACGGGCATCAAGTCACATGGACCCATACAGCACCCCAATTCTAAATCTACCTCTGGTGTATGCTGAGAGCTCCAGATCAGGTTGGGCAGGACACTATTCCGCACCTGCGCAGTTTGTACCTGGCGTGACTGCAAAATGGTGCCCCGGGCATTGTAGTAGCAAGCCAGAGGCAGGCGAGAAATAAGACATTGTTTTCCCCCTCGCCCAGGCCCATGAGAGGAACAGTAGCTAGAAGGGTCTCAGGCTGTGTCTACACACCATCTCAGCAAGCCGCAGTGAGGGAGGGTTGTGGGGAGTGCTGAGCCCCGCTTCTGCACCTTGTCGTACCCAGGGGCGAGGTGCCTGTTTCAGCTTGCCCTGCCTTCATTTGGCCCTTTCCTCCAGTGCCGCACCAAGGGAGAAAATCACAGAGACCCTCTGCTGCCAGGATTAGTTGTACCCCAGACCCAACCCAGAATTCCCATCAGCCCACCCGGAGCCGAGCCCATTGCAGCTTCTCCCAGTGGGCTCGGGGTCGGAGGGCCAGCTACCCTTGGACCAACTGGCAGGGGATACGGGTTCCTCACCTGTCCTCGGAGCCATTCTGCCTTGTACAGAGCTGGCTGCAGGCAGGCAGTGAGCAAGGGCCGTCTACAGTGCAGGCTGCTGCCCTCTGGATTTCCCCACCGCCTGGAGCTGGCAGCCTTAAGCTGGCCCTGCCCCACACTCCGTCTCCTTTAACCCTCTCGTGCTGGGCAGCTAGTCTCAACAGCAAGTCTCCTGGGTGGAGATGGTGCAGGGGAGGGCCCTTTGCCCGATGTCTCCCTCAGGGGAGAGGTGGGGCTCTGAAGGCTGCCTCTGCGAGTGTAGGAGTAAGGAGCCTTGGTGGTGTAACCCAACGGGATTTGGTGTTCAAGGTAGGTGTAGGGGGCTCTGTCTCCCAGTAGGTTCAGCCAAGGTAAGGGTACCCTAGGGGTGCTCCTGTGTTCTTGGGAATTCCCCCACTCACACCCATACTGAGCAGATGGCTGTGTCTGGGTTAAGCGGTAAGCTGCCCCGTTTCCTAAGGTCCAGCCTGCATCTCTAACATGCTGTCTGAGCTGGGGTTTCTTAACAGCCTGAGTGGGCCCACCATTTGTGCTTCCCAACCCCGGGGGTTTGTCCAAGGCCCAGTCTCAGCCCTCCTCTGACCTCTAGGTCAGCTGATGTCTGGCTACTGCCCCTCCCCCAGGGCCTCTTCTAGGAACACCTGGCAGGGCCACCAGCTACCTCCTGTTTGCTTTCCCCAGCACAGTCCTCCTAGGAAAGGCTGGCAGAAGGACAGCGGGGCACCCAGGCCTTAATGGCCAGGGCCGGCCAGCTTCCACTGGCCTCTTGCTGTCCTGGGCAACAAGAGAGCCTACCTACCCACTGCTTGTGTGCAAAGACCCTGGGTAAATATGCTACCCCTAGGGGAGTCAAGGGGCTGGCTGCATGCGGGGCCTCAACCTGGCCCTGGCTCCACTCACCCTGCCGGAGCCACATCTCGGCTTCCTCCTCCAGGGCCTGAGAGCCGTGACCTGGCTGACACTCCAAAGCTCAGCAAACCTCTTGTTGAGTTCTGTCCCTTTGCCCTGCCTGGGATGGTGGGAATGTACACGGGAGGGGCCACAAAAGGCAGTGCTGAGTTTCAGGAGGGACAGCTTCTCGGGTTGGGCTTGGGGGACATTGGAACCCATGTCTACACAGGCAGAGGAAGCAGACAGCTCTGGGAGGGTTGGGGGCTGCAAGCTTCCACCACGCTGCCCCATCTCTAGGGCATTTTCCAGGTTATTCCTTAGCCTCTTTTCTGAGAAATTATAGATCGCCCGGGACGGAATCTCCGCCCAGAGCCACAGAGCAGTTTACACAGCAAAAGTGCGGCCTCAGCAGGCCTGTGAGGCCAGCGGCCAGCCTCTGCTGGGGACAGGGGACGGGCAGCAGTGGACAGGAGTCTTTGTGGGTCCCTGCCTGACTCTGGGCTAGGATCTTTTCCTGTCCACTCAGAGCCCTGCTTGGTGCAGAAGACTTGGCGGGCTTTTGACAGCTTGGGTAGACCCAAGGCAGCCTTCTGTGTCCTGCAGCCACACAGCACAGTAACGCAACGCCCAGGCACTGGAGACTTCCTAACTTCCTACTCCCCAACAGCCCAGCTCTTCTGTCCAGTTTTACCTTTGGTGTCTGACCTGGGGTCTGTGTCTAGCCCAGAATATGCCAGCAGCTGCAGAGCGCACTGGCTGTGTTTCTTCAGACATCATCCAAGGGAGATGCAGCCATCGTGGTACATCTGTACTGGCTGGACAATCAGGTCCTGCCTCCAGGACCACTCAGTGCAGCTATAGATGGTGACTGCGAGGCCTGAAGGGCATGCGGCCGTCTCTGTGAGGGCAGGGCTTGAGGGTCCACACTGAAGTAGGGTAGTGTGGGTCTTCCTAATGTTTCTGTCTCTGTATATTGCCTACTGGCAGGGTTCATTGTTTTCTGGATCTCTGGCGAGGCCGAGCAACTTGAAGCTGTCCAGCGGCTGGACACAGATGTTTTGGCCCTCTGTTGCTCTTGTTATGTTTTTTTTTTTTTTTTTTGAGACAGGGTTTCTCTGTGTAGCTTTGGCTGTCCTGGAACTCACTCTTGTAGACCAGGCTGGCTTCGAACTCACAGAGATCCACCTGCCTCTGCCTCCCTGAGTGCTGGGATTACCAGTGTGTGCCATCACCACCCAGTTTAAAATTTTACTTACTTGTTTTTGTTGTTGTTGTTTTTAATGTATGAGTGCTCTATCTCATACACCTATACACCCACATGCCAGAAGAGGGCATCAGATTCCAGTGTAGATAGTTGTGAGCCACCATGTGGTTGTTAGGAATTAAATTTAAGATTTCTAGAAGAGCAGAAACTGAGCCACCACTCCAATCTTCCTTCACGTTTTTTTTAATGTAGTTTGATTTATCAGACTAGAGTTTTAAGTCCTGTCTGCATTAGGACCTAAACCTGTTCCCTTTAGGCACCTCAAAATCACTTCTATGTTTTATGTTGCTTTGACAGCTCACATTGTATGTGTGCCCCATGTAGGGGGAGCTCAGGTTCCATTCTCTTGCTGACTAGAAAATGGCTGCTTCAGCACCAGAGACAGATGCATGGCCCACCCCAAACCCCAGCGCACGCTTGCTCCTCCTACCTGAGTCCTCTGAGCCAGGACTCCACCGTCTCCACAGCTGCCAGTTCTGCAGCCCTTACCCTACATTCTGACATCTAGGTGGTGGGGTGAAGATCCCAAGTGAGTGACCAGCATGATCTCCATATTCGGAGTCCAGTATATGGGATCTTCAGCACTGGGCTCTTGACGGCCAAGTCCTTAGCCTGGAATACTAGCCTGTTGGGGAGCACACTTCTCACTTCTCTTTTCTTTCTTCTCTTCTCTTCCCTTCTCTTCTCTTCTCTTTCTTCTCTTCTCTTCTCTTTCTTCTTTTCTGTCTCTCCCTCTTTCTCCTTCCCATTTTTTTTTCTGAGACAAGATCTCTCTGTGTAGCCCTGGCTGTCCTGTAACTCACTCTGTAGACCAGGCTGGCCTCGAACTCACAGAGTTCCACCTGCCTCTGCCTCTCCGGTGCAGTCTATGGGATCTCATTGGTCACTGATCCACGAAGAGGTAATACATCCCTGGTACTGAGGTTTTCATTTGCTGCCAAGTGGTGTCTGGTCGGGGCACTGTGCCCTTGTTATGGGGCAGCTCTGTTAAAACTAATGCTTTAAATTTAGATGTATGACTGTTCTGCCTGCATGTATGTCTGTACACCAGCGTACATGCCTGGTACCTTTGGAGGTCAGAAAAACAGCAGCTGGCCTCCTAGAGCTGAAGGTGAGAGGTGCCATCATGTGGGTGTGGGGAGAAGGCAGGGCTCCAACTGGTAAGCGTCCCTCCAGCCAGCACCTTCATCTGTGCAAAGTCTTCTACAGCAGGAGGTTTCCATGTGGCTTTTTCAAGAGGCCCCGGATGTTAGTTATCTCTCCCTACATTCTCTTCTTTCCTTCCCAATCCCCACCCCAATTCATCCCTTCCTGTTCCACTATTCCCCTTCAACCCTGGGTAATCATTGTGTCTCCTCCAAAACTTGGAATCCCTCTACGGCCCTGCAGTAGCGTCCTGACCTCTGTGAGTACGCCAGATGCAGCCCATACACAAACACCTGAAATTTAAAGCTAACACCCCCAAGTCAGAGAAAACATGATACATCTTTGTGAATCTGTGTCGCCTCTGATTTTTTTGTTTTGGGGTTGCAGCCTGTAGCTAGCAGCTAAAGGTCAGATTGCTCCCAATTCCATCCATTTGCCTACAACTTTCTTGATGTCATTTTAAAAAAGAAAAAAAAAACCTTTTAAAATGTATGTGTGTGGGTCACATGTGTGCTGGTGTCCTCAGAAGCCAGAGGTGTCAGATCTTTTGGACCTGCAGTTGAGGGTGGCCCACCTGAGGGTGCTGGGAACCAAACCTGGGTCCTCTGGAAGAGCAGCAAGCATAGTTCTGGCATCTCTTGAGCCATCTCTCCAGTCCCCAGTCCATTTTACCTATAAACTGACTAATATCCTACCGTGTGAATGGACCACACTGTCTTTATCTGTCAGTTGACAGACATCAGGCTGTTTCACTTCCTACCTCTCGTGAACATGGATGAGCAAGTGTCTCTCCACAGTAAGATCTAGTGTTGTTTGGGTATGTGCCTAAGCATAGCATAAGCAGATGACGGGGTAAAGCTCTTCTTACCCTGGTGCCGAGGCCTTTAGTTTATTTCACTGGGTGCAGTCAGTTTTGGCTCCCACCATTGATGCCAACATCTGGTTTGGGGTTTTCTTTTTTTTTTTTTTTAATCTTGGCCCTTCTGACTCAAGATGAAATCTCAAGGTAGTTTTAATTTGCATTTTCCTAGTGTCTAAAGATGCTGAACAAGTTTTCAACTGTTTCTCGGCCATATGTATTTCATCTTTTGAGAACTGTTTAGTCCTATGCCTTCATTGGGTCGCTTATTTTCTTGATTTAAAAAAAAAATGTCTTTGTATATCCCAGAACTAACCCTCTGTCAAAGGTATAGCTGGTAAAGATTTTTCCTATGCTGAAGTGTGTCTCTTTACAAATGACAGTGTCTTTTTGTTTGCGTAAACGTTTTAGTTCTGTGTGGTCCCATTTGTCAGCTGTTGGTTTATGCCTTTGCTACTGGGGGCTTGTTCTGAAAATCCTTTCCTGTTCCTGGAGTTGAAGCGTATTCCCTACTTTCTCCTTGGATTTGGGGAATCGGTCTTACACTGAGAGCTTTGCTTTGGAGTTGAGTTTTGTATAGGAGGTGAGAATCAAGTTTCATTTAACTCTCCGATTTGACTATCAACGTTTTTTCAAGTGTGCAGTGTTGGCCTCTGTGAAAAAGAATCTGGTGGCCATAGGTGTGTGGACTCAAGTGAGTGTTCCTTTCTGCTCCGCTGCTCAATGTTTGTTTTTATTCAGTACCGTGGCGGGCGGTGGCATTGTTGCTCTGTAATACGACTTAAAGTCGGGTGGTTGATATTTTAAGCCTTGGGTGAGGTATCCTCCGTCACTAAGCTGACATTTTTTTGAGGCAAGATCTCAAACTGAACCTGCAGCTCACTAACTGGCTATCCTGGCTGGCCGGAAAGCCCAAGGTCAGGCTGTCTCCACCACCATCACCCCGATGCTGCACCGCCACAGCCAGCT